CTAATTTTTTGAAATTAATAAAATTGCGAATTTTAAACTTGACATATATAATAAAATCATATGATTTTAAGTTTTCATTATATATAATTACCATAGTATATCTTTTATATAATTGGTGATTATAAATGGGTTTATTATATATAATCACCGTAGTATATCTTTTATATAACTGGTGATTATAAATAGGTTTTATTTATAATCATCCCTATCTATAATCACGTAATTTTTAAAAACTAAAAGAGGTGATTATAGATAGGTCTGATTGTATATACTACCTTTTTCATATTTTTTGTCCGCTTCTTAATCGTAAACAACTTATAAATCAACTTAACGAAAAGTAAAAAAATGGACATTAATTGTGAAATTAGTAGTATATGCGATTTTCACATCACACAGCCCTTATTCTTCAGCAAGAATTTTTCTGATATTGTACTGTGTATTTCAGGCAGAAGTAACCATATCTCACATGATTTATCTCTTGATTTTTCATCAAGTGAATCTTCGATTTCATCACGAAGCATATAATACTTTTTATATTCCTGAGACATTGTAGCAATCTATTTGATTTTTACCTTTTTTTATGCTGAACTTTATGCCTAAACATGTTACTGATATTAGTTCTAATTAACGTGATCCAAACTCTGGCAGACTTCCTATGCAATTTTATAAAAAAAAGAATACATAATTGAAACATTATGTAGTAATACTTTATCAGAATGAATCAACTATTGATCCAACAAGAGGTAGTTCAGACCCCACAGGATCCCTTATTTTACTTCATTTCGTAAAATAAATTAATAATCTCTTGGCATCATATCCCTCTTTTGGTAGCTAGGAAAAGTTGAACACTTTTTAATCGCTTAGGAGAGGCTTTGGATGTTGTTAAAGTTCAAGATGTAAGTGGAGTACTTACCTGAAATGTAAATGGTATGCGCATTTTCTTCATACAAGATTTTTGAGATTCTGCATTGAATCAAAATACTTAATCAAAACTCGTATTATCCTCTAAATAAAGCAATTAATCGTGTGTAGCTACATTACAAGTAATTTACAAATGTTTGAAGCAATTTACAGGTGTTTGTTACATTAAAAGCAATTTACAGGTATTTGTTACATTAAAAGCAATTCAAGTAATTTGCATTGTGTATTATGCGCTAGTAATAAATATCTGAATCCTTGGAATAGTGAGCAATCAATAATGTCCGAATCTTTGGATTAGCGACCAATCAATAAAATGGCAAACTTCGACATCTCCAGCCAATATTTACAAAAGAAATTGTGATTGTTAGTGATACGACGAAAATTCCCAATAAAATCGCAATAATAATTCCTATGATGATTGGTAAAATAATAATAAGATCGTTATATTTATTATAAATTAGACCATCACGTTCTAACTTTATTCCCACAATAATTGACTTGATTCCGTAGTAAACATTATTTATAATTATGACAAAGGCTTTTGTTAAATCTTTACTATTAAAATATCGTGCATTTACAAAAGTAACAACAATAGTGGTTATTGTATAAATTGAAAGAGACATTAGTTCCTATCCAACTTCTTGTATGGTTTCATAGGGAATAGAAACTGACGAAAGAACTTGTCAGTGTAAGTGTGAAGTATAACAAAATAAAATAACCATTTTAATATTAATAAATGTACTGATTTTTTACAATCTTCTAAAATTCCTTCTAGAAAATCAACTTTCCTGGCGTAGCATCATATATCCTTTTTTACCTCAGATTCAAACTATCGAGAACTTTTTGTTGCTCCAGTGATAGTTGTACTGAAATGACAGTAATGGCCATTAATAAGCTTGAAAACTGCTATATACACTAAAATCTTACTTACCTACGTTACCGTTACCACCAACATTTCCACTGACATTATCATTACCATTCATTTTGTTGAGAGAAATGTTTAGCATTAAAGAGAGATGTTTATATATATTAGTAGCGACACAGAGCAGAGAAAAAAAAACGCGTCTGCTGATTGATCGACATCACCTGATGAGAGATATTATATAATATATATGGATTTTTACAAACAAAACACAGAAAACTGGACTTGCGTAAACCTTATAGAGTTTTATCATGCTAATTCGAAACAAAAGGAGCGTAAAAAAGTATTGGACAATATAAAGAAAGATCTCGAAAAGGTGGTGAGATCAGAATCTGGTTTTGACATGACGCGTAAAAAGAAAGCCCAAAAATAATTAACAACTGGAAGGTATGTTCTATTATTAATAAGATAGCGATTTAAACAAGTTACGGAAAAGCTGTGACTCTTAGTCTACAGTTATGAACTCTTAGTTCTTTCAGAGTGCAAGCTGTGACTCCTAGTCTATAGTGATGAACTCTTCGTTCGACACTTAAGTGAACGCAAACTGTGACTCTTAGTCTACAGTTATGAATTCTTCGTTCAATGCTTTCTTTGCTTGTATATTTATGTTTATTACATATTGTTTCTTGCAAATACTGTTAATTCTGCATTCTTGTTTATTAAGGATTGGACCATGATGAGCGATGATACAAATTTCAAATTTGAGTTTAATCAGGTGAGATTCTACCTTTTAACCTGAAAACTTCTTAAGACAAAAAACTTGAGTAACATTTTTCTTCGATTAGATACAACAGCAGGTGCTCACGACTGGTAATACTGTGACTATTGATAATATTGATAATTATTGTCGTGTAACTGGAAAACATCTCAGAGAAGATAAAATAGAAACAACGGTTGATGTAACTCCACTGAAGCAGGTGGAAAAGGTAAGGCCACTGTCCCAATATTTCTGTGAATAAAAAAAACTTATTTATATGTTCTGTGGATTAGCTTCCTTGTGAATTTGAAATTCTTCAAACAAAGAGACTAAGAAATGTTCCCCCTATGAACCTGTAATAAGAAGCAATCATTGACGCTAAGCTGACAACAGCGATAAATTCCAAGAAACTAATACCGAAAAAGCAGGAGAGGTAAATAGTTTGGATTATTTGATACAATTTCTACATCAGACCACAGAAAGGTACAGTAAATACTAATTGTTCTTCATTGATTGTCGTGATAATGCTTCATTTTTTGTAATACAGTCAGGCAAAAATATTTGATGTCTCGTTTGACGAGTACGTTGGCTCAGGCGTGAACATACAAGATAAAAGTGATGATATAGCTGAGTCAAGCAAAGATCTTGAGGACGAGAACGATGAAGAGATAAAATTTAATCTTAATAACATCTTAAGAGAATTACAGCGTGAACCAGCGGTTAAAGTATGTCATATGTTGAAATTTGTTTTTATATTTTGCATATCTTAATCTTATTTTTTTTTAGTGGGAGGTCGATAATATTAACGTAACAGACAGATTTTGAATCTACCAAAAAGATATACTTAAGAAGGCAGAATGAGAAGGTTTAGATTTTAAAACATTTATGAACTTCTATAGGTATTCTGAAATATAACATTTATAACGATTAAATCAAGATTTATTAAAAAATTTTTTTATCATTTCATTTAGAACATTATTTTCAATTATTGTTCTCACATGGCTGAATCTATACCTTAATACAGGGTTAGGAAATTTGTATGTACTAGGCAAATTTTGACCTTGTACTTGTACTGTACTGTATTAAATTTTATATTAATTATTATGTGTACTAACTGTACTAAACTGTACTAAGCTGTACTAACTGTACTAATTTTCCAACCCTGCCTTAATATATTCACAAAACGAGAGTAGGCAGAAGTTATAAAAACAAGCCCATATACTATTAAAAACTCCCCGCTTTCAAAAGAAATTTCAACGTCCCTTCATGAAGCAATTTGCAACAATTTTATCAGTGAAGATGTTTATATGATTGGTAGAAAACTAAGCTAAGTTGAGATGTAGCGTGCTCCTTCAATGATTTGTAAGTATGCAAGTTTCATCATATTTTGTTTATTATCTACGAGTTTGTAGCTCACAATGTTCTTTCTTTGATACATTACATAGATATAATGGCTTATCAATGTTTCCATCAAAAAAAAATGAAAAAAATAACGGAAGAAGAGCACTGTTACATGTTTTTCTATTCAATTACTAAACCCTTCTTCCTCAATCCCTTAAGGGAGTACAAACTTATTCTGAATCGTGCTATATCAGGGTCAAGAAAAAGGCCTGATCTTTCTTATGTAATTAACGATATCACCATACTCAACTCAGAAATTAAACCATTAAAATGTACTTTACTCCAGCAGAAAAAAGACACTATGAAGACACAATTACGAGTCCGCAAATCAATTAATATGCAACTACAAAGAAAAGGTAGTCCAGCTGAAGCCGGTATATTTTTGAATATGGGTATGTGCTTACAAAGAAGCTGTTATAATTACAGTATGTTACTGAATTAAGATTTGTGATAATTAGGCGAATGGATGGAGACGTTTTTCATGGATTTAAAGTATGACAGATTATACCATTCTTGGTTGTTCCATAGAACAAAGCTGGTGATTGAAGAGGCTTCAATCCTATTAGCGGAATTTGCAATTAGTCATATTATCGCTTTGGAAGTATGTAATATCTTCACTTAGAAATAATTGTTATAACTTTATCTTTAGCAATGTAGGAACATATTGGGAAACTTGCAGAAGACTACAAATATCGAGATGATCAAAATCAAGAGGATAGAAATGATCAAATTACACCACCTACATCATTCATACATAAATTTCCAAATACTCCACAAGTAAAGTTATTATTTAAGTGATAAAAGTCTTATTTAGTATGGAGGGATTAAAGCATTTTCTCCTGATAATTATTATATCTCTGTATACTTAATGTTTGAATAAGAATGCGAAAGTTTATTGTGTACATATAATGCATCTGAAAAATAAAAAATGTATATTGAAAAGTGATTAGCGTTCCGTTTCAGAACAATTTTCCGATTTTGATGAATATCAAATTTTTACTCAACTGTAACCGCCTGCCGATATTTTAACATTTCACGAATAAAGTTAATGTATAGACTTATCATTTTTTTTAAACTTGTAAAATGTTTTATGGAGAAATGTGTTAGATCATTGCGAGACAAATTAATTTGATCAATGTAGTGATTATAATGGTGGCTTAGCTATCAAGGGCGGTGAAATCTGATTGGCCGATCATCTCATGATTTATAGAAACTCGCCAGTGCTTGGAACTCTCCTAAAACTATCGTGGAACTGGCAGGAATTTAGGGAGATAATATATGATACAAATTTTAGCTGAAGACGTGGTGTATAATTTAGCCGTTCTGAATCATGACATCAGAATTATATATATCATGCGCAGTAGGATGATTTTTCGCAGTAACTACGCATATGTTGTTAATCCTGCTTATATTGTATTAAATCAAAAAAAAAATAAATTGTTTTCATCCAAACAATCGAATAAAAATGAATCTGATATTTATTAGAGTATAATATTGCTAAATCAGCTAAAATCTCTAAAAAAATTATAAATCAATAAAATCGTTATAATCTGTTATAAACTACTAAAACACTATTATAGATTTAGATAGTAAAGCCCAATATAAGCTAGTTTCTGTAGGCTATAGTGATATAAACTTCAAAGAATATAGAAGAATATTAGAAGCATTAGGTCCTTTAAGTGAACGATATTATTACAAAATACCAGAAATGTGATGTTTTCGTATTTGTGATCCATTTAGGAAAATATTAGAAGATAACCCAAGAACTCTTTCTAAGAATGGATATATTTCAATGTATGGAAATTTAATTAAAAGAAGTGATAAAGTCCATGCTTTTCCAACCAATTACATATATTGTAATATATGTGATTCCTTAGTTTTCATATCTAAAAATGGTTTTGGTGGTCATCCCAGAACCTATCGAGATAATCACTTGAAAAGATACATTTCTGAAAATAGTATTTCGAATGAATATACAAGAAGAAAAGATATTCTCAAATCTATTGAAAAAGGGAATTTCACATTTGGCAATATAAACAATTTATATTACGAAAAGAGACTAAAATTAATTGTCTTCGTCTAGAGCTTTTCTCCCAAACTACTTCATACTCAGAAAAGGATAAATTGGCATCAGTATCATATGATTCTGATTGTCGTTTATTTAGCTATGAAGCATATAAGCAGGTTAAAATGACTATGGCAGAAAATATTATATCAAATGCTTCAAATTTTGAATCAGCTTATATTTCATCTACGAGGCAAGAAATGATTTCACCAACTTCTTATCAATCATCAAATTGTATAAATGATACAGGCAAATTATTTATATCATCTCAGTATATAAAACAGTCAAAAGGCATTGTGTTAAGATTGGGAATATTACAGAAATCACAGTAATTTAACTAACTGATTCTGACTATTATTTTGACTAAATATTAGCATTATGTATCTTAATTATATTTAGCTAAATATAACTTATACTTTATTTTTTTATGAAATGAATAGCTATATCATAATCTAATCTGCATATATAATTGCCTAGTAAAATTGGTTATGTATCACCTGCCAAATTTTTCAGATCAGTTCTTAATTCAAATCCTAAATATTATTTTAATAAAATAATATATTGTTCAGCTATACTAAACGTCTTAAAGCCAATCCATATAGGTATGTGCAACATAAATTTTTGATTCATCTAATGAAATGTATCACCTGCAGGTTTATGCAGAATAAAGATTATGATCTGTCTATTCTAGATTAGCTCTTGAGTAATATAATGCTAATTATACTAAAATAGTAATATGCTGTAGATAATACTTGCATTATTACAAAACATAAGTATACGCATTTTTTGACTCTAATGCGTCTTTTCTTATTTATCTCATTTTTATAAAAAGGCCATAAATCATGAAAGATAAGTTCTATTATACGTATTCTTTTACAAAGTGTCTTAATAGCTATTTTTAGATTTTCTACTTCTAACAAGCTAATAAAACATGTCCACTTCTACAACTTTTTCAAACCGCTTTACATTAGCTAAAAACTGTAATACTAAGACCCTTATTAATTTCTTACGTAACCTGAATATAAATCTCGATGAGAATGATTTTAAGATTCTATGTAAAGAGAAAATAGACAGTTAAATCTTCCTAGATATGATCAAAAAAAAGTTTATGAAGAATAATATAAAACGGGAACCTGCTATGAAGCTTAAAAAATAAGCTAAGATATTTAGAGAGAAATTAAAAGCCTTTGAAAAAGGTAAAATCGAATATTTTTGGCTCTTTCCATATGAAGTATGGTCTTTTCAGCATTTTATATCCTGGTCAACTAATATGTTTAAACTTACTGAAAGAAATGAGACACATACAGTTTTTTATAATATATTATATATTTTTCGTAATGATCTAATGGCCTTGCAGGAGATTTACGAAGTTGTTAGAAATCTCTTAATTAAGAAAAAGGTATGTATTTCTATTTTGCAGGCCCGAATACACATTTTTTCAGATATGTTATGTTAGGTACAAGAAGCTTTCGCTTGAAGATATATAAGCCTTCAGTTATTGCAGTGCTTTAGCATATTCATTCTGTTAGATGTTGTGAGATTATTTGGTGATACTTTTTGTTAAAGATCTACTATTTCTGAAGAAGAATTCGATTATGTACCTTCCTTTTGATAAAAGTATACTGAGTAATATTTCTTGTTTAGGCAGATGGGATTCATATAGGAACCATCCAATATAGTCGTTACTTCTAGTATCACCATTCTAAAAAATATTATTTTTTTTATTTTATTATCCCCAATGATAATACTTATTACTGAGAGGTTTATTTTAATATAGGTTAGTGGAAAAAAAGGTCACAAACCTTTAACTGATACTTCTAACCTGCAAGAAGAGATAATAGAGAAGCTGGCCTTTTCAAAGTTAGATTCATTAGTTTCTTCCGCTCCTGTCGCTAAAATGAGGTATTAGTAAAGTTTTAGATGTTTCTGCAGATATCCCATTATGAGATGATAGTTCTATAGATATTTTAGAGATTTAAAGACTGCAGTACATGATTTTAACCAAGGCATAATAGTATTAGAATCCTCTTACTCATATAAAAGTTCCAATAATTTGTATGTGAATTTCAAGTATTATATCAAAGTTTCTAGAGAAAGTACATATGATGCTAAAATGTATTGGGTTTTAGTGAATTAGTTAAGGAAGATCCATGAATATGAGATCACTGGTCAATAACATCTCAAACAAGTTTGTAATAATGGAAACTATTATCATCTTTATTGTAACCTGATCATAAATAAGCCCAATAGTCCTAATCTGAAAGCTCTTTTTGAACTATTAGCAACAGCATCAATTTTCAAATTAAACAGCCATTTTGAACAAGTATTTAAATATGAAGAGCAACTCTATCTCTGAAAGATCTGGATTGTAAATTTTTCCCGTAAAGATTATATTGTAACCAATCCGTATTGGCCATGTGAGAAACTCTAAGAGAAAGGATTAAATGTCATCCATTTTTGGTATAATAGGAAGTTTAAAAATGTGAGAATAAGTGTCAGATTTTAGGATACCATTAGTAAGTTCTGTGAAATTATAGATGAGCTTATTCTTTAGCTTTAACGCTTGGTTTAAAGAATCCCTCTGGTTCAGCTATAGATGTACTATTATTATTTGTATTATAATAAAACTGACCCTAGTGATCGATTTTATAAATATACATTTGTATATATTGAATAATAAATTTTTCTTGGCAAATTTCTGGGACTACACTTCTTCAATCACAGATTTTGAGATGATCTTTCGCAATGTTTTCTTAAGCAAATAAAAGATCTTTTGATAACTATCCTTTGGAAGCCTAACCAATCTCTATCAGATATAACGTAACTTACTATATAGATACTGTTACGTTGGGTTTCGTAGCTTCAAATAAAATTTTAAAGGGTAAATAAAACTAAGACAATTACTCAAGGAATCATGAGATAGAATTCACAATAACGTCGAAGAATTATTCTCAATAATAAACATGTGATGATAAACACAAAATAAACACAAAGATAACTCAAAGATATTTCAGAGA